AGCATGATTCTAAGGTGATTACTACCAAGTTTTCAACTTAAATTTCCAAGTTCATTAACCCAAGAACCCAATTTCAATTCTACCATGTTGAACATGACTTTACTCAGTTTTATGATTCTAACCTGTTCTAATTTACTCATCCCAGCTAGCCAAACTGCCCAATTGCACTCAGGACTACCTATGCTCAAATTCTCTACCTCAGTTCCTTTCAAACGGCTCAAAACAGTACTTCCTTAACTATTTACCCTTCTAACGCGACTAACACATGATTTCCACCTCAACCACTCCTTACTAACCCAATTGGTCATCGGAGAAGAATCAGATGTCTGAACGCATCAGTCTCACCTTCGACGCCAGCACATATGACTAGTCACAACTGACTTGACCATGCTAGGGCTTCTCTATGATCAGGGATGTGCCAACTCAGGTTTTTAAGATTCTTCTATTCTACCAACACAGTACTCTCAACAAGTCCCAGTTATTTATCTAAGTCATCCAAACTGTCCTATGGTGTTTTAGACTCTAAATTCCCCATTTCCCTATCTCACTTCCCTTTTCAGTAAGCTAAAACAGTACATGTACAGTTAATTATTATTCCTTTTTACGTTATTATAGAATTCTCATTCCTAACCCTCTCCCTCAAAATCGCTTACGGCCAACCAACTCATCCAAGTCCAATAAACATCAGTATACCATGGTCACACAAATTTCACATATTAACCAATACAAATCAATCTACACACCACAAAATATAACTCAACAGTAACAAGTCACAAATTATCAAGCATACACACCATACAATTCAAACAAAACATAACTAGCTCCCCTTACCTTGAAGTTGAGCAGCTCAACCCACTAGAACGCTCTAACAGTACCTCACAGCAAGGACCTAAACAGTGCCCTACAACCACCAAAAATGTGATGGAAATCGCTCTTAGAGCTGGAATGGACAGAGAAAATAAAAGGACAAGCTACCAACTGCATGCAACCAGTAAAGTGGCATGCCCTAGGTTCCAAAAACAATGGAGGAGAAGGGAAAACGACTTACCAGTCGGAATGAAGAAAACGTTCGGTAGAAATGGAGCTCTCTACGTCGCGGATGCTTGGGTCACACAAAAATCAAATTCCTACGATTCTTTGAGCTGGAAATCTAGAGAGAAGGCAGTGAGAGTTTAGGGCATGAGAGTTTTAGAGAGAAGGAGAAATGAAGTTCAGGGGAAGAAAATGGGTTCTGAAGAGCCCCTCCTAAGGTCAAGTTGGCCTTAGTTTGATGGGTCTGACTGCCCCACATAAGGCCCAAAGGCCCTTTGTTAAATTTACAAGCCCTTACAAATATCATTACATCAATTAACTTATTCAAAATATTATTTCTTTTTAGAATTTAAAATTTTATTATGATTTTACTTTTAAAAAACGTCTTAAAATTAAAAAAAAATATTTAAATTGCTTAAGTTTCAAGAGTCATTAACATTTGTTAATAGAATATTCATTTTGAAAACAAACGTCACAACTTTAAAATGTGTTAATAATGTTTAATATTTTAAAAGGCAGATATGAAAGAGAATATCCAGACTAAATCGATGATTTGGAAGATGTTTAATTTTATTGTGGCCCGAATGCTGCTCCTTCTGCTGACTTTTCATTCGTCATAGTTTTGAATACTACTAGCAAGACAAATTCGTGATGCTTTCTTTGTTTTCTTTGGTTTGTCTTACTAATAAGAAATTCACCTTTAAATTCAGCTCTTTGAAATACTCATCAAAACCATAGCATTATGTACTCTTGGTGGTCGTAAGACAGCGCTATAGTCGTGACTTTTCATTAGTCAAAGTTTTGGACATTACAAATAAGAATTCGGCATAAGGTGATCAAATTGTTGAGAAATTGAGAAAAGTATATGGAAGTGAAATTTTTTTCTCTTTCTATATCTTAAAGTAGTCTTAAGAAATAAAAAATTAGGAGAAGAGAATAACTTGTTATATTTTTTAAGTAGAAAACCTACTTAAATATGATAAGGAAAAATAACGGGACTAGGCAAGTATAAGAATTTTACTATAAAAGTTGGATTATAAAATGATCTCTCTTTTTTTTTCTCATAAATGACACTTAACTCGTTACTACTCTTCAACTTACTAGCCGAATTACTTAACTACTCTTATGTATCTCCAACACTCTCAAAATTCTAAGTGACAGTGAATATTAAATGTTCTTCACATTTCCAAAGATGAATGTACTTCTTTTCAACAGCCAAAGAAATAATTCTAAGACTTAGAACATCTTCTTTCCTTGATTTTACCTCTTTTACGGGATTTGTTAACTTCTTGACAAGCGTATCAAATCGTTTAAGTAATATATATTGTAAATCCATGCATAAGAATTGCATTCCTCAATTAAGGAGGGATGTATTTCCAACACAAAAGATATATATTCTCAAATCCAATTCTTAAATATTCAAATTTATATTACTTTGACTTCATTTTAAGTTGACAAAAGTCAACCAAAGTAGAATAGAAGATATGAGTCGAACTAAGCCCAAGTCGAGTCGAGTCAGATTGGGATCAAGTTGAAATAGGTATGCTCAAGTTGAGTCAGATTGGGTCTAGGATGAACAAGGTCTTCTCAAGCTGAGTCGACTCGACTGAAAACTAAAGTCAAGTTAAGACGAATAAGATTGAAGGTTGAGTCGAGATGACTTTAACCAAAAGTCAAGATGATTAGATATAGGCCTAATGAATCAAGTTGATTTAGTCTCAGGTTGACTTAAGTTAGCTCTGGTCAAGGTTACGGTAAAATGACCAAAACCACATAAGTAGTTGAGCCAAATCCAATTCGAGTTGAGTCAGTCCAAGCCCATCTCTTAAGTTAGCTCTGGTCAAGGTTATGGTAAAATGACCAAAACCACATAAGTAGTTGAGCCAAATCCAATTCGAGTTGAGTCAGTCCAAGCCAATCTCTGTTAGAACTAATAGTTAGTTCTATTAGGTTGATCTCACGGAATTGAATCTAATTGACAAAGTGGATACAATCTAGATTTAATCCAATTAAAGAGAAAAAAAAAATCCAAATCTAATCGATTTAGTTAAAATATATTTGGACTATAGATCCAATATTGGAACTAGATTAAAAATCCAATCCATGATCACCCTTTACCGGTAAAAAGAGTTAAAAATTTGTGAGTGAACGGGACAAAGACAAAATGCACTTAAACGAACTAGACTAGAGGTTTTGTCCACTGCAAGGAACACAATCCGATAGTTATGTCAAAGAAATTGGCTGGCGAAAGTTTGAAGAAGATACTGAGGTGGGAAGTTGCAGGGAAAATGGGAAAGTCAACTGTTCGTAGTTAATTTACATAGATATGAAATAGAAGTAATACACTTTTACGTGAGTTCCAAAACATCTATTTCTATGATCAATACTTTAGTGAGTTAACGCGTGGGCAAAATGGCAGAGTTGACTAACCAGTTTGAGTGTAATATAGAGTATTTGATTAAGAGGATGATGGTAGCAGTAACCATAACAAACATACACACACACAATGGAGAGCCTACAAATTCTCACGCTAATCATTTACATTACTTTCTTTTGTTTCATGCCCACTTCCTCTACTATCACTCCAAATCAGTCCTTAAAATATCATGAGACACTTGTTTCTTCTGCAGGAACCTTTGAAGCTGGATTTTTTGACTTTGGAAACTCAAGAAGACAATATTTTGGTATATGGTACAAGGGCATATCACCTAGGATTATTGTGTGGGTTGCCAACAGGAATGTCGCAGCACAAAACTCAACAGCAGTTCTTAAACTTACTCATCAAGGACATCTTGTCATTCTTGATGGCTCCAGAGGAAGAGTGTGGTCCTCCAACTCATCAAAAATTGCAGTGAAACCAGTTATGCAACTTTTAGATTCAGGAAACCTTGTTGTCAGAGATGGAGAGAGCTCAGAGAACTTCTTGTGGGAAAGCTTTGATTATCCTGGAGACACTTTCCTTGCAGGCATGAAACTGAAAAGTGATTTTGTTACTGGTCCATATCAGTATCTCACGTCTTGGAGGGACGATGATGATCCAGCTGAAGGTGACTTTTCTTATAAGATCGATACAAAGGGCTTTCCTCAACAAGTTACTACAAATGGAACTACAATTTTTTACAGCACAGGGCCTTGGAATGGCTATCTTTTCAGTGGTGTTTCTTGGGACAGAATGCACAGATTCTTGAATTTCTCTCTTGAGTTCACTAAGAAAGGGGTTTCTTATGGATATGAAACGTTAAACAGTTCAGTGCTTACTAGAACAATGCTTAAGCTCGATCCAAGAGGGGGTACAGAGCGTTCTCTATGGTCAAACCAAAAACAAAGTTGGGATAATGTAAACAGTCATCCACTAGGTCAGTGTGAATATTTTGCAGCCTGTGGCGTCAACTCTATCTGCAATGTTAATAATGATCCAATATGTGAATGCTTGCAAGGTTTCACACCAAAGTTTCAAGATAAGTGGGATTCTCATGATTGGTCTGGTGGTTGTGTCAGAAGAACAAAGTTAAGTTGTGATGATGGAGATTGGTTTAAGGAGTACACAGGAATAAAGCTTCCAGAAACGTCTTCTTCCTGGTTTAACAGGAGCTTGAGCCTTAAGGAATGTGAGACATTGTGTTTGAGAAATTGCTCTTGTACTGCATATGCAAATTCAGATATTAGAGATGGTGGGAGTGGTTGTTTGCTTTGGTTCTATGACATTGCGGACATGAGAACTCACACTGATCGAGGGCAAGAAATTCATATACGACTGCCATTTTCTGAACAAGGTAATTTCATTTCCATTCATTTTATGCCTCTTTGTCAGATTTAGTTCAAAAATATAATTTATGTTAAGTTGGAATCGATAGAAAAGAAAAGAATGAAATGGAACATTACTAGGATTCATCAAAGAATGCATTCTATTCCATTGCATTTAAAACCTTTCCTCCATTGCATTTAAAACCTTTCCTCCATTGCATTCCATCAAAATTGTAAATTCTATTAGACAACTAAGAGGATGAAATTATAGCAATACTAGATTCTGCTTACCATCAACAAGCACAGTATGGCTAATAGTAATGTGTCAGAAGTTGGAACTAGCGGGTATAAATCAGCTTCCAAGTTGAAGTTGTTCTGTATAACATGCCTTTCTCCTCTTTTGTTTTTCCCTGAAATGTAAGCTTAGAGCTACTTGTGGATTGAGACTAATTTCATTCCTCAGNCCTTTGTTAAATTTACAAGCCCTTACAAATATCATTACATCAATTAACTTATTCAAAATATTATTTCTTTTTAGAATTTAAAATTTTATTATGATTTTACTTTTAAAAAACGTCTTAAAATTAAAAAAAAATATTTAAATTGCTTAAGTTTCAAGAGTCATTAACATTTGTTAATAGAATATTCATTTTGAAAACAAACGTCACAACTTTAAAATGTGTTAATAATGTTTAATATTTTAAAAGGCAGATATGAAAGAGAATATCCAGACTAAATCGATGATTTGGAAGATGTTTAATTTTATTGTGGCCCGAATGCTGCTCCTTCTGCTGACTTTTCATTCGTCATAGTTTTGAATACTACTAGCAAGACAAATTCGTGATGCTTTCTTTGTTTTCTTTGGTTTGTCTTACTAATAAGAAATTCACCTTTAAATTCAGCTCTTTGAAATACTCATCAAAACCATAGCATTATGTACTCTTGGTGGTCGTAAGACAGCGCTATAGTCGTGACTTTTCATTAGTCAAAGTTTTGGACATTACAAATAAGAATTCGGCATAAGGTGATCAAATTGTTGAGAAATTGAGAAAAGTATATGGAAGTGAAATTTTTTTCTCTTTCTATATCTTAAAGTAGTCTTAAGAAATAAAAAATTAGGAGAAGAGAATAACTTGTTATATTTTTTAAGTAGAAAACCTACTTAAATATGATAAGGAAAAATAACGGGACTAGGCAAGTATAAGAATTTTACTATAAAAGTTGGATTATAAAATGATCTCTCTTTTTTTTTCTCATAAATGACACTTAACTCGTTACTACTCTTCAACTTACTAGCCGAATTACTTAACTACTCTTATGTATCTCCAACACTCTCAAAATTCTAAGTGACAGTGAATATTAAATGTTCTTCACATTTCCAAAGATGAATGTACTTCTTTTCAACAGCCAAAGAAATAATTCTAAGACTTAGAACATCTTCTTTCCTTGATTTTACCTCTTTTACGGGATTTGTTAACTTCTTGACAAGCGTATCAAATCGTTTAAGTAATATATATTGTAAATCCATGCATAAGAATTGCATTCCTCAATTAAGGAGGGATGTATTTCCAACACAAAAGATATATATTCTCAAATCCAATTCTTAAATATTCAAATTTATATTACTTTGACTTCATTTTAAGTTGACAAAAGTCAACCAAAGTAGAATAGAAGATATGAGTCGAACTAAGCCCAAGTCGAGTCGAGTCAGATTGGGATCAAGTTGAAATAGGTATGCTCAAGTTGAGTCAGATTGGGTCTAGGATGAACAAGGTCTTCTCAAGCTGAGTCGACTCGACTGAAAACTAAAGTCAAGTTAAGACGAATAAGATTGAAGGTTGAGTCGAGATGACTTTAACCAAAAGTCAAGATGATTAGATATAGGCCTAATGAATCAAGTTGATTTAGTCTCAGGTTGACTTAAGTTAGCTCTGGTCAAGGTTACGGTAAAATGACCAAAACCACATAAGTAGTTGAGCCAAATCCAATTCGAGTTGAGTCAGTCCAAGCCCATCTCTTAAGTTAGCTCTGGTCAAGGTTATGGTAAAATGACCAAAACCACATAAGTAGTTGAGCCAAATCCAATTCGAGTTGAGTCAGTCCAAGCCAATCTCTGTTAGAACTAATAGTTAGTTCTATTAGGTTGATCTCACGGAATTGAATCTAATTGACAAAGTGGATACAATCTAGATTTAATCCAATTAAAGAGAAAAAAAAAATCCAAATCTAATCGATTTAGTTAAAATATATTTGGACTATAGATCCAATATTGGAACTAGATTAAAAATCCAATCCATGATCACCCTTTACCGGTAAAAAGAGTTAAAAATTTGTGAGTGAACGGGACAAAGACAAAATGCACTTAAACGAACTAGACTAGAGGTTTTGTCCACTGCAAGGAACACAATCCGATAGTTATGTCAAAGAAATTGGCTGGCGAAAGTTTGAAGAAGATACTGAGGTGGGAAGTTGCAGGGAAAATGGGAAAGTCAACTGTTCGTAGTTAATTTACATAGATATGAAATAGAAGTAATACACTTTTACGTGAGTTCCAAAACATCTATTTCTATGATCAATACTTTAGTGAGTTAACGCGTGGGCAAAATGGCAGAGTTGACTAACCAGTTTGAGTGTAATATAGAGTATTTGATTAAGAGGATGATGGTAGCAGTAACCATAACAAACATACACACACACAATGGAGAGCCTACAAATTCTCACGCTAATCATTTACATTACTTTCTTTTGTTTCATGCCCACTTCCTCTACTATCACTCCAAATCAGTCCTTAAAATATCATGAGACACTTGTTTCTTCTGCAGGAACCTTTGAAGCTGGATTTTTTGACTTTGGAAACTCAAGAAGACAATATTTTGGTATATGGTACAAGGGCATATCACCTAGGATTATTGTGTGGGTTGCCAACAGGAATGTCGCAGCACAAAACTCAACAGCAGTTCTTAAACTTACTCATCAAGGACATCTTGTCATTCTTGATGGCTCCTGAGGAAGAGTGTGGTCCTCCAACTCATCAAAAATTGCAGTGAAACCAGTTATGCAACTTTTAGATTCAGGAAACCTTGTTGTCAGAGATGGAGAGAGCTCAGAGAACTTCTTGTGGGAAAGCTTTGATTATCCTGGAGACACTTTCCTTGCAGGCATGAAACTGAAAAGTGATTTTGTTACTGGTCCATATCAGTATCTCACGTCTTGGAGGGACGATGATGATCCAGCTGAAGGTGACTTTTCTTATAAGATCGATACAAAGGGCTTTCCTCAACAAGTTACTACAAATGGAACTACAATTTTTTACAGCACAGGGCCTTGGAATGGCTATCTTTTCAGTGGTGTTTCTTGGGACAGAATGCACAGATTCTTGAATTTCTCTCTTGAGTTCACTAAGAAAGGGGTTTCTTATGGATATGAAACGTTAAACAGTTCAGTGCTTACTAGAACAATGCTTAAGCTCGATCCAAGAGGGGGTACAGAGCGTTCTCTATGGTCAAACCAAAAACAAAGTTGGGATAATGTAAACAGTCATCCACTAGGTCAGTGTGAATATTTTGCAGCCTGTGGCGTCAACTCTATCTGCAATGTTAATAATGATCCAATATGTGAATGCTTGCAAGGTTTCACACCAAAGTTTCAAGATAAGTGGGATTCTCATGATTGGTCTGGTGGTTGTGTCAGAAGAACAAAGTTAAGTTGTGATGATGGAGATTGGTTTAAGGAGTACACAGGAATAAAGCTTCCAGAAACGTCTTCTTCCTGGTTTAACAGGAGCTTGAGCCTTAAGGAATGTGAGACATTGTGTTTGAGAAATTGCTCTTGTACTGCATATGCAAATTCAGATATTAGAGATGGTGGGAGTGGTTGTTTGCTTTGGTTCTATGACATTGCGGACATGAGAACTCACACTGATCGAGGGCAAGAAATTCATATACGACTGCCATTTTCTGAACAAGGTAATTTCATTTCCATTCATTTTATGCCTCTTTGTCAGATTTAGTTCAAAAATATAATTTATGTTAAGTTGGAATCGATAGAAAAGAAAAGAATGAAATGGAACATTACTAGGATTCATCAAAGAATGCATTCTATTCCATTGCATTTAAAACCTTTCCTCCATTGCATTTAAAACCTTTCCTCCATTGCATTCCATCAAAATTGTAAATTCTATTAGACAACTAAGAGGATGAAATTATAGCAATACTAGATTCTGCTTACCATCAACAAGCACAGTATGGCTAATAGTAATGTGTCAGAAGTTGGAACTAGCGGGTATAAATCAGCTTCCAAGTTGAAGTTGTTCTGTATAACATGCCTTTCTCCTCTTTTGTTTTTCCCTGAAATGTAAGCTTAGAGCTACTTGTGGATTGAGACTAATTTCATTCCTCAGATCAAAGAAGGAATAAGAGGGACCTAAATCCAAAGAGGAATAAGAAGGACCTAAATTCAGAGAGGAATAACCTAAATCCAAAGAGACTTGCAGGGACTGTTGTAGGACTTGTTACATTCATAGTTGGACTAACAATTCTTGTGTGGGCGACTTCAAAACGTATGAAAGGGATGAAGCAACCCAAGCCAGGTGAAGAATTTATAATTTATGAAGTATTTTACATTTCAATGAAAAGAAGAATAATATTGAAATCAAAGATTATTTTTCAGTTCTCAAGTTTGTTTTCTTGTTCACCTAATGTCTATTTATCTTGTTTACATTATAAGCACAAATATTATATTATTTATAAGCAATTCATGTCTCCTGCTACATTGGGATTACTGAAAAAAGCTATTCCCTGGAAGCACATGATGGAGAAGGAAAACAGCAGCTTGCCGAAAATGTTTGATTTTTCAACCATTGATATTGCCACAAATCATTTTTCTAACACAAACAAGTTAGGAGAAGGTGGTTTTGGAACAGTACACCAGGTAGGTGGTCAAATTTGTTCTTGGTTAGCAAGTTATTCGTACTGATTGTGAAGTACCAAAATTCTCAAAATCATTACTAGGGAAAGTTGATAGATGGACAAGAGATTGCAGTCAAGAGACTTTCAAAAACTTCGAGACAGGGAACTGAGGAGTTTAAAAATGAAGTAAAGTTG